CTATTAGTAAAACAAATACCTACGTCTTATCAAAATATAAATTGCGAATAAGAAAATAATAAAAAACAAACATCGCTGCGGACAGGATTCGAACCTGTGCGGGCAGAGCCCAATGGATTTCAAGTCCATCTCCTTAACCACTCGGACACCGCAGCTCTTGCTACACATTCAGAAATTATTTCATATAATACTTTGTATGAATGCAAAAAAAGGTTTAAACTGGGTAATTATATATAAACATTTATTAATTAATACTGACTCCTAACCTTTATATTCAATCGTATTAAAAGGCATTTTACAAGGGTCTTATTAATAGTTTACCTTGCCTGCATGTGTTTGTACTTGCTTATATGCGCTTGCTTTTATTTGTACTTATACAATACAATACAATACAATACAATACAATACAATTTTATTTAGGTAAGGTACATACATACAATAAATATTTACAAGGATTGTTTGACTTATAGGTATAGCTAGTACATAAAATGCCTAAAGCCACTATTACGCAAAGCGTTTCGGGCACTTGCTTATTAGTCAATTGTATTTGTGGAGGGGGGGGGGGGTTAACTTCACCCCTGTAGTCATGCCTCTTATACTGGTGTCAAGGTTTCAAGGCTATTGGATTTTGACTTGTATTTACATTAGTAACTGAATGGAATGTGTTTCCAGCACGTCCGTGCCATATTGTTATTTATTTTCGCCTCTCAACCACCTGTTAAAACACTAGTCTATGGCATTTGACATCCTCCATTTTATGAACTGGATAATAATCAATCCCTTGTCTACAGAATACACACACATGTTCAAAATAAGGAACAGTAGAACGAGAGGACATAATTTGAATTAGAAACAGACGTGTCGCAGAGGAGCTTTTTTCTGCCCAATTCTCAAAAGAATAGTATAGACTGGATGATTAAGTTGTTGCTGCCAATTGGATAAACAGTTTTAACTGTAAACATGATAAGGAAAACGAGTGGAAAGAGTCACTGCATAAAACTACTGACAATTTAAAGGCAGGGGTTAGGAGCAGATGATGATCGACCCAGCATGCACAACTAAGAACGTACAACTAGCTGAGTGCACGCACGTTCAAACGAAGAAATGACAGTGCTGAGAGCAGTGTTATTATTAGACGAACGACAAATGAAAATAATGTGTCGGGAGCAGAGGTAACATTAGCGACCGACAAATTAAAAAAATGTGTCGGGAGCAGAGGTAACATTAGCGACCGACAAATATGAAGAGGTTGCCTAACTAAGAGCATACGGTCGGCCCTGCAAGTACAATCAGGGGAATAAACACAAATACATAAAAAATATACATTTGTACCTAATAGCCAGAACGCACTACTTGGCCTACTATACGACGGTCCGATTTGCCTAATAAGCCAAGTTTTCCTGAAGTTACATATTTTTCAAAAAAAAAAAGTTCTTATAAAATGATAACCCTTTCGATGTTGACCAGACCACACACTAGAAGGTGAAGAAACGACGACGTTTCGGTCCGTCCTGGACCATTCTTAAGTCGATTGTGAATGGTCCAGGACGGACCGAAACGTCGTCGTCCCTTCACTTTCTAGTGTGTGGTCTGGTCAACATACTTTAGCCACGTTATTGTGACTCATCGCCTGATAACCCTTTCCATTACAATTTATATGATTTCATTTTTAAATCGGTTATAACTAATGTACAAATATGACCAAATCTAACCTAACCTACTTGAGCTATCCTAACTGATTTTAACGTAACCTAAACTAACATAACTATGTCAGTAATTCATATTCTTAATATATTAATAATTCATATAAACCAATTGGAGAATTTTGTTGGAAAATATAAAAAATCACTGCCTATTAGGCAAGTCGAGCATTGCATACTAGGCCAAGTAGTGCGTTCTGGCTATTAGGTACAACATATGTTTATATATATATACATTAGGTACAATATATATATATATATATATATATATATATATATATATATATATATATATATATATATATATATATATATATATATATATATATATATATGTCGTACCTAGTAGCCAGAACGCACTTTTTGGCCTACTATGCAAGGCCCGATTTGCCTAATAAGCCAAGTTTTCCTGAATTAATATATTTTCTCTAATTTTTTTCTTATGAAATGATAAAGCTACCCATTTCATTATGTATGAGGTCATTTTTTTTTATTGGAGTTAAAATTAACGTAGATATATGACCGAACCTAACCAACCCTACCTAACCTAACCTAACATATCTTTATAGGTTAGGTTAGGTTAGGTAGACGAAAAAGTTAGGTTAGGTTAGTTAGGTAGGTTAGGTAGTCGAAAAACAATTAATTCATGAAAACTTGGCTTATTAGGCAAATCGGGCCTTGCATAGTAGGCTGAGAAGTGCGTTCTGGCTACTAGGTACGACATATATATATATAAAGGGGTACCACCTCTGGTGCAAGTGTAAGGACCCATAGCCTCGGAGAAGAAAATAATGAGTACTCAGAGAAGACCTTGTGGATCCTCACTGAACACTTTGATATTTTCTTCCCCTACCACCCCTATTCTTTTAGTGTGTCTGTATATATATATATATATATATATATATATATATATATATATATATATATATATATATATATATATATATATATATATATATATATATATTATATATATATATATATATATATATATATATATATATATATATATATATATATATATATATATATATATATATATATATATATATATATATATATATATATATATATATATATATATATATATATATATATATATATATATATATATATATATATATATATATATATATATATATATATATATATATATATATATATATATATATATATATATATATATATATATATATATATATATATATATATATATATATATATATATATATATATATATATATATATATATATATATATATATATATATATATATATATATATATATATATATATATATATATATATATATATATATATATATATATATATATATATATATATATATATATATATATATATATATATATATATATATATATATATATATATATATATATATATATATATATATATATATATTTATATTGTACCTAATGTACAGTATATATATATAAACATATGTTGTACCTAGTAGCCAGAACGTCGTACTCGGCCTACTATGCAAGGCTAAATTTGCCTTGTAAGCCAAGTTTTCCTGAATTTATAAATTTTTTTCTATTTTTTTTTCTTATGAAATGACAGACCAATCAAATTCATTATGTATGAGTTCATTTTATTTAATTTGAGTTAGAACTAACAGATATTTGACCGAACCTAACCTACCGTACCTAACCTAACCTATCTTAACCTAGCCAAAACTAATATAACTAAGTCAATAATTTATGTTCCTAGTGTAATATAATAATAACAATTCAAATAAACCAATTGGAAATAATTTATGGAAAATAAAGAAAAGCACTCGGTCTATTAGGCAAATCGGGCCTTGCATAGTAGGCCGAGAAGTGCGTTCTGGCTACTAGGTACGCATTTTTTGGCTACCTAACCTAACCTTACCTATAAATATAGGTTAGGTTAGGTTAGGTAGGGTTGGTTAGGTTCGGTCATATATCTACGTTAATTTTAACTCCAATAAAAAAAAATTGACCTCATTATATATATATATATATATATATATATATATATATATATATATATATATATATATATATATATATAATAACCCCTCTACACACACAAGAGAATTTGTTGAACTATTCTTCTAACTATGGCGTAGTATGCTCACATGATATGAGCTTAATTAAGAACAAATTCTCAGGCACAAACACCAGAGACATGATTACAACGTGCAAGATGCTAAGAATGAACAAGGGCTGAAAAAAAGTAAAAATATAACTAAGACATGTAGAAAGTAAACTCAATTGAGCCAAAGTATAAGTATAAAACAGGAGAAACGACCTGGAGGTAGTAGAAGCCATCGTAATCCAGGCACAAACAAATAAAAACACGCACACAAGGAAGAGTCCATTTACAACAGTTTTCCAATCCTAACTCCATTTATATTAACTCTGTTACCTTTAACCACGCCCTTATCCACCTTAAGATTGTAACCCCAATACCGTGAGCCTCTTCCTCTCCAGTCAGTCTTTCGTGAGATATGGCATCAAAAGCTTTGTTACCGTCAGGGTATATAACGTAACAGCCCTTTCCACCGTCATCTCCCTCAAATTTGCTAAAATAAAATGAAAACAATTGTCTATGCGCGGCGCTTGGTAAAACCCAGTTGTGAATCATTTATTTATTTATGATCGTTAGTACAACGTAAGTGATCTTCGTCTCTTCTTAAAAATCGGTACCACATGAGCAACCCTCAAAGACTCCGGAAGGGCTCATTATGCTCTTCTTAAAAAATTTTATGCACCATGACAAACACTTCGTATGGCCTTGGGGACTTTTTTCGGCTTTAATTTTTATATTAAATAACTTCCTTGGTAACCACACAACTGGTCAGCCACTCTTCACCACCAATATAGATTTGCTCAGCTGAAGGCATAATGTCAAGTTCTTCCTAGTAAATACAGACAAAATATTTAAAATATTATTTCATTGTCATTATCTGTTATCTGACCTGTTTCAGTTTTTAATGGCGCTGTCTTATTAAACTTTGTTTGATATAGTGAACAAAATTTACATTTTAACATTGCTTGAGCTGCTATACATACATCATAATTTCTTTTTGCTTTCCATATTTCCTTTTTTACATTTCTAGCCAATTTGACAAACTGCTGTTTTAAACTGACTGACCCATTTTTAATTCTTTTATACAACGCTTTCCTTATACTTACAAGATTCTTTAGGCTCATGGTTATCCATTTGGGTCACTTATTTGATCCAATCAATTTACAAGGCATATATTACCTTTCTGGCTATACTAAGCATATTTTTAAATAAGTTATAATTTTAATTTATATTGTGATCCCCTGTCACGTCACCCACCGCCAGGCTCACGTCAACTCCCATGTACAGGTCACCCACCGCCAGGCTCACGTCAACTCCCATGTACAGGTCACCCACCGCCAGGCTCACGTCAACTCCCATGTACAGGTCACCCACCGCCAGGTTCACGTCAACTCCCATGTACAGGTCATCCACCGCCAGGCTCACGTCAACTCCCATGTACAGGTCACCCACCGCCAGGTTCACGTCAACTCCCATGTACAGGTCACCCACCGCCAGGTTCACGTCAACTCCCATGTACAGGTCACCCACCGCCAGGTTCACGTCAACTCCCATGTACAGGTCACCCACCGCCAGGTTCACGTCAACTCCCATGTACAGGTCACCCACCGCCAGGCTCACGTCAACTCCCATGTACAGGTCACCCACCGCCAGGTTCACGTCAACTCCCATGTACAGGTCACCCACCGCCAGGTTCACGTCAACTCCCATGTACAGGTCACCCACCGCCAGGTTCACGTCAACTCCCATGTACAGGTCACCCACCGCCAGGTTCACGTCAACTCCCATGTACAGGTCACCCACCGCCAGGCTCACGTCAACTCCCATGTACAGGTCACCCACCGCCAGGTTCACGTCAACTCCCATGTACAGGTCACCCACCGCCAGGTTCACGTCAACTCCCATGTACAGGTCACCCACCGCCAGGTTCACGTCAACTCCCATGTACAGGTCACCCACCGCCAGGTTCACGTCAACTCCCATGTACAGGTCACCCACCGCCAGGCTCACGTCAACTCCCATGTACAGGTCACCCACCGCCAGGTTCACGTCAACTCCCATGTACAGGTCACCCACCGCCAGGTTCACGTCAACTCCCATGTACAGGTCACCCACCGCCAGGCTCACGTCAACTCCCATGTACAAGTCACCCACCGCCAGGTTCACGTCAACTCCCATGTACAGGTCACCCACCGCCAGGTTCACGTCAACTCCCATGTACAGGTCCCCCACCGCCAGGTTCACGTCAACTCCCATGTACAGGTCACCCACCGCCAGGTTCACGTCAACTCCCATGTACAGGTCACCCACCGCCAGGTTCACGTCAACTCCCATGTACAGGTCACCCACCGCCAGGCTCACGTCAACTCCCATGTACAGGTCACCCACCGCCAGGTTCACGTCAACTCCCATGTACAGGTCACCCACCGCCAGGCTCACGTCAACTCCCATGTACAGGTCACCCACCGCCAGGCTCACGTCAACTCCCATGTACAGGTCACCCACCGCCAGGTTCACGTCAACTCCCATGTACAGGTCACCCACCGCCAGGCTCACGTCAACTCCCATGTACAGGTCACCCACCGCCAGGCTCACGTCAACTCCCATGTACAGGTCACCCACCGCCAGGTTCACGTCAACTCCCATGTACAGGTCACCCACCGCCAGGCTCACGTCAACTCCCATGTACAGGTCACCCACCGCCAGGCTCACGTCAACTCCCATGTACAGGTCACCCACCGCCAGGTTCACGTCAACTCCCATGTACAGGTCACCCACCGCCAGGCTCACGTCAACTCCCATGTACAGGTCACCCACCGCCAGGCTCACGTCAACTCCCATGTACAGGTCACCCACCGCCAGGTTCACGTCAACTCCCATGTACAGGTCACCAACCGCCAGGCTCACGTCAACTCCCATGTACAGGTCACCCACCGCCAGGCTCACGTCAACTCCCATGTACAGGTCACCCACCGCCAGGTTCACGTCAACTCCCATGTACAGGTCACCCACCGCCAGGCTCACGTCAACTCCCATGTACAGGTCACCCACCGCCAGGCTCACGTCAACTCCCATGTACAGGTCACCCACCGCCAGGTTCACGTCAACTCCCATGTACAGGTCACCCACTAACACTCTCTCATGTTCAAAGTACGGCCCACGTCCCATTGACAGGTCACCCACTTCCACTCGGTCCACGTTCCAAGAACAGTCCACCCCCGCCTATGTTTACGTCTGTCCAATCTAGCCTTTTCAAGAAACTCCTAAATCCGTTGAAATGGGATTTTTGGAAATCTGGCAACTTAAAAGAATTTTCTCTTACACATCTATTCCCTTCAATGCTAAATCTAATATCTTTGTGACCACTGTTCCCTAGTTCACTCCCTATTGAGATGTCATTTATTTATTTGTCTTCCTGTTGGCTCATTATATTGTTTAAGGAAGCAATCAACTAATTTTTAAAAATTCTACTTCGGTCTTCCCTGTTTTGTTATTCCTGTTTATTTAATTAAAATTAGTCACCTTAGCACAAACACTGTTTGACCTAAACTGTTAACAAAAAATATTTGAGAGGAATCTTATAGAAACTGGTAAAAATAATTACAACATAATATTTCCACGATTCAGTGCTTAGCTCTTATGAAAATCATAAAGTTATTATTTAGTCAAATTTACTTTTTGCACTGAGGCAGGTATTTTGTCTGCTAATTCCATGTATGACTAACCATCCTGTGAGATTGGAATATTAGATGAACTTATAGCTAGTTTTTGATCTACACTCTAATCTTTCATATAGAATAGGGTAGCAGCACATTGCTGTAATATACCTAAGCTTGTTAATAAAAAATAATTGACCTAGACTCCCAAATGCTTCAGACTTTGTCCTAAACATGCATTGCTTCCTTTGTGTCAAAGTTTGGCGCCCTGTCTACCTTGTGTAGCTTCCAGGGATCAACAACCCCGCGGCCCGGTCTCCGACCAAGCCTCCAACTAACCTGCAGGCCTCCCTGCAACCAACTCCTATTATTAGATTATTTATAATTTTAACCAAATAGTTTCTGGGATCCCCTCTTCGACACTACAATTTAAATTTTCCCTTATATCAATTGCCACTTTTTCCTCGATTATTCTGTCTTCTCCCGTGAAATCTTTTAAATACAGTATCTTAATTTGATATTCAGCAAATAATTCCCCCTTTTTCCTACATGCATCCACGTTTCGGCTAATGCAATAATATCTAGTGTTTCTGTGCAGACCAAATCACTTAAATCGTTTATTTTGTTTCTAAACTCCTACTATTTGCGTAGTACACCTTAAGAGTATTATTTTACATTAAGGCGTGTCTCCGACACTCTTCCTTTCACCCAAACTGTTTCCCCTACCAACATTTGATGAGTAAATGTTGTTTGCATACGCTAAATAAGAATACGCTAGGCTAGGAAGTGATATGTCATAGCAAACTAAGCTAGGTACGGTTTGTCGAGTAACTGGCTCTTTTTGCCAGACTTTCTTTATTTGCAGCAAGTGATTGCAAATGATCATTAATTCCATTGTATAAGGATTGGTTTTCATCCAATCTGTCTTCTTTATCTGCAAGTTACAGCCAAACCTTACCACGAAGAGTCGTTTATCAGTAAATATTTCTTCTACAGTCGCAAATGTTTACTGTAACACCTAAATTCTAAAACTGTTAACATAATTGTTACAGTACATTATTATATGATCAAGACTTGTATCTTCCCTTGTACTTTAGTTTTAACAACAAACTGAGTATTGACGTCACCAGGCTTCCCACAGTAGGTATTAATACACCTTGACGTCACCAGGCTTCTCAAAGAAGGTATACACAGCTGACATCACCAGTCTTCATATGGAAGACATTAATATAGAGATGACTTGTCATGAGTTATAAATAAATACGTCATAAACGTCAAAAAGCTTATTATAAGTTATGAAAATGTCGACGAGGCTTGTCTCAGCAGTTATTACTAAACGTCGACGAGGCTTGTCTCAGCAGTTATTACTAAACGTCGACGAGGCTTGTCTCAGCAGTTATTACTAAACGTCGACGAGGCTTGTCTCAGCAGTTATTACTAAACGTCGACGAGGCTTGTCTCAGCAGTTATTACTAAACGTCGACGAGGCTTGTCTCAGCAGTTATTACTAAACGTCGACGAGGCTTGTCTCAGCAGTTATTACTAAACGTCGACGAGGCTTGTCTCAGCAGTTATTACTAAACGTCGACGAGGCTTGTCTCAGCAGTTATTACTAAACGTCGACGAGGCTTGTCTCAGCAGTTATTACTAAACGTCGACGAGGCTTGTCTCAGCAGTTATTACTAAACGTCGACGAGGCTTGTCTCAGCAGTTATTACTAAACGTCGACGAGGCTTGTCTCAGCAGTTATTACTAAACGTCGACGAGGCTTGTCTCAGCAGTTATTACTAAACGTCGACGAGGCTTGTCTCAGCAGTTATTACTAAACGTCGACGAGGCTTGTCTCAGCAGTTATTACTAAACGTCGACGAGGCTTGTCTCAGCAGTTATTACTAAACGTCGACGAGGCTTGTCTCAGCAGTTATTACTAAACGTTGATGACGTCATAAGGCTTGTCAGTCATGAAGAAAGCATTATCATGCTTGCTTCATGATAAACATTATGTTTATTGCATTATCATGCAATAAAGCATGATAATGCTTATCGTGCTTTATTGCGTGCTTCAACGCTCTCTAAGAAGTCTTAGACTTTTCTTATTGTAAATGACATTACTATGACAAGGATAAGTTGCAACCTGAAGTCAAAATATAACTTCAACCGTATACTTATGTTGATAATATGTAAGATAAATCAGGTAAGTTCTGCAAATACAATGCAACAAAACAATTGTTTAAAAATTGTTCGCACTAATGCACTAACGAAGTAATTCCTCAGAGAACAATATCCAGCCATAGCATGTTTATATCACCAAAAATACAATAGATTGTAAGAAGTCTTACCTAAGATGAGCTGCATGACATCAGGACGGCTGGTGAAGTACCGCTGACGTCTCCTCTACACCAGCCCCGCTGACGTCTCCTCTACACCAGCCCCGCTGACGTCTCCTCTACACCAGCCCCGCTGACGTCTCCTCTACACCAGCCCCGCTGACGTCTCCTCTACACCAGCCCCGCTGACGCCTCCTCTACACCAGCCCCGCTGACCGTGTGACCCGAGGCGGCCGCCGCGCCCATTTTCCTTCCTCATATTCAAGTAGTTCCCAGTACTTGGCTCTTCAAAAGCCAATCCGCTCTGTATTTCGTTAAAGTTAGCATATACAAAATTATAAAATTATTACGAATAAAATAAATGTTATAATAAACTTCCTGTTTGGAGATAATATTAGTATTTGCGAGATTGTGGCAGAGCGGAGTGATAAAGAGAGACGGTCAGCTTCCCGCCAAAACCCAGCCGTCGTCGACACCTGACAGGTGTTGCCAACTGTTTACTCTCTACTCTCCCTCTCTCAAATACAGGTCGGATGTTAATTTTGTTGGTGTTAATAAACAATAAATTTTAAAAAGATTCTTAACACAAGATGGTATACCAGGAAATAATGCCATTAGCCTTTTAGCAAATAAGACAAGATACCTTCTATCGCCTTTCATTGGCAATGCTTAATTGTTAAATTGTGCCTTGTCCTTATATTAGGCCGCCCTCATGAACATTGGTCAAACACTAGTTAACCTAACAGCCGTCCTCACACCGTTCATAACTGAGAAACACTTGACACATGACGAGGATGAACCCAAGCTGCGGTTCACCCCAAAGATGCATTCTTTAATTTAAGGGTCTCGTAGTACAGTTGGCTTCATTCTCGACTCACAACCAGTAATTTCGAGTTTCAGTCCCGGGCGGGACAAAAATAGTTGGACACGTTTCCTTTCACCTAATTTAACTGTTCACCTAGCAGTAAATAGGTACCCGGGAGTTAGGCAATTGTTGTACTCACATAGTTGCACTTGTGGGGATTGAGCTTCGGCTTTCTCGTCCCGCCTCTCAACTGTCAATCAACTGGTGTACAGGTTCCTGAGTCTACTGGGCTTCATCATATTTACATTTGAAACTGTGTATGGAGTCTGCCTCCACCAATTTCTGTGTGTTCCATAACGACAAAACGAATTAATTAAATAAAAAAGACAATGATCCTTCATTGTTTAATTATTGGCATGTCTGGCTGCAAAAACTGGGTCATAGGCGTTCAATCCCCAGAATTAAAATACATTACATTTTTTTTTTTTTTTTTTTTTTTTTGAGATATATACAAGAGTTGTTACATTCTTGTACAGCCACTAGTACGCGTAGCGTTTCGGGCAGGTCCCTGAAATACGATCCCCTGCCGCGAAGAATCGTTTTTTCATCCAAGTACACATTTTACTGTTGCGTTAAACAGAGGCTACAGTTAAGGAATTGCGCCCAGTAAATCCTCCCCGGCCAGGATACGAACCCATGACATAGCGCTCGCGGAACGCCAGGCGAGTGTCTTACCACTACACCACGGAGACTAAACATATATTGTCTTTCCGACTCCCGATATGATCGTCAAGCTATAGGTTTATGAATCAAATCTTTTAATAAGGATTTGTCAGGAAATAAGGTAAACTTGTTTTATTAAACTTATTTAAATGCGTTATAGTGAATCTCAAAGCTAGAAAGCATTTTTTCGGAGACAGCTTTAGAGTGTGTTAATAGCATACTTGCTGAGCCGGTGTTTTCATTACCTCACTCCAAGCCTCTTCAACTTCTATAATACAGAATTTAAAAGGAGTTAACATTTTCACATCACTCCATGAAATGTTAGTAAATGGTTATATTTATGTGAATAAGCGTAGACCACTTCAGTATTGTGCCAATTTTTGAATCAATGGCAATCAATTGGGATAATCAGAGCTTTAAAACTCAAATAAGTGTGCAATTTATTTTTACATTCTTAATTTAATTAATTTCTTATCCACACTATTCCCATTCTGTGATTGGTAGTGGGAAAAGATTACAGAGGCACATATTGCGTTCAAGAATTAAAACCACAACGTTTAGGTAAGCAAGCATCAGCATTGATGAGTTAAGTTACATTGTTGCTTACTTGAAGGAATTTGCTATCACTGTAAGGCGAAGGCAGCCATTTTGTTGGAT